CTCTGGCAGAAATATGGAATATCCATTTAACTCTTTTAGATTTATATAACAGTAAACAGTCTGAAAAATGCTTTCATTTGATGGCTATATATAGACAAACCATAGGACTTCATAAGGGAACAGAATGATTATCCATGTTACTGACAGAGAAATGTGAAACCACAAGGGTTAAATTACTCTCCAGATCTATAATCAAGAAAGTACTGACTTTCTCTCCACAACTCACCTGGTTCTACAAGATAACATTATGTGAAGGATATGGTGAGTTCTGAGATTAGCTTTGGACATACTGTCTCTAAAACCACATGTGGGAGTTTGGCTGGTAAGGAAATTAAACGCCACAATGTTGGTTTTCAGGAAGCAGCAAAAGTCCAGATATAATCCGAATGGGCCTTGTAAGTTTCTTTCCAGATTACTCTCTAATACGCCAAAGTCTCTAATGGAAATCCTCACGAGGCTCCTTTTTATGAGGAAGTCTGGAAACTTTACTAAAATAAAATCAGGAACAGAGAGGTTCATTGTAAGATGAAAAACAAGGGTTAAACACAGTTGTAAATTTTCATGTATCTGAAAGGCACAAAAGCAATTTGAAGAATGAAAAACTAATCTTGGTCCAAACTGAAAACTAGGAGACACGGAATTTTTAAAAAGACGAGAAGTTTCCTTCAGTGAACATTGCAGAATTAGAAAATAATATTCCCCCTACCCTCACTTAAAATTTGTGTCAGATGGCATACTGAGGAATTAGACTAAACAATCACTAAGAAGTCTGTTAGGGTAACTCCAAGTTGAGAGCTCTGCTGTATCAGGCTTTAGAACTGGAATAAAATCTCATGACCAACCACAAAGAAGTAAAGCTCTGTAACAAGACTGGTCTGTTAAGGAAACCATCCAAGAACTTACTTCACCATTAAAAATACCTTATTACATGAATGGCAGAGAATCGGCAACTGTTGAAGCTTGGTGACTGATACATGGGGGTTCCTTAATACTACCCTGTTTCCTTTCTATATGTTGTACAATAAAAAGAGAAAAACCTTGTTATAAAACAGCATGGACAAAATGATTCAGGGAAATGCTGGGAAATTTGGTTGTATAGTTTTTTACTCACTCAATTCACAATGTGCTGACTTTAGACACATACCCACACAAGAATCCCCATCCTCCTCTCCTTATTCATGTTCCCAGCCATAAATGGTACTTTAAGGGCCCTTTTCCTGATATCAGGAATGTCTTCAGATAATGTTTTCAGATCCTTCATACAGTTTTATGTCCCTTCAGCCACTAGTTTCTGGTCACTAATGACCATGAACTGACTTGTTTCCATGAGTGGACTAGATGCTACTAGAACAGAGTAAATGCGAGGAAGCACAGTTGAGTGGTTAGGAGAAGATGTTCTAGTGCTACGCTGTGTGAGTTATAGTTCTGGCTCTATCATTTATTAACCAAGTGACCTATAGATCACTCTGGCTTAAAGATGGTGCCCTTCTCAGACAAATTTTTGACTAAGAATGAGGTGTGTTCCCTCATCCAATGATAAAATCCATTTCTGATATGATTCACAAACGGAATACAAAATACACAGTCAAGTATTTCAAGAAGCTGGTGAGATAAGAAGCCATGACAGTATACATGTTAGATACACATCTAATTTTCAGTCCAGTTAACTATGAATACCAGAATTCACAAACACCAAGTAACCCAACTGGTATAGCAAGGCAAGAACTAATTTCTCCTTGTATGTCTCCCTGGTCAGGAGGAACCTTTGTCCATTTTGTGGAACAGTCAAGGTTATTTGAGTTACTTAACAGTCTCTGAGCAGGAAGGGCCATGAACATGACCAATGGGGGAGACCAAAGCCTGGAGTGGGCAGTGGGCAAGGGCAGCCTGCCAAGGTGTCTCTGCTCTGTTTATCTCTATCTTCTACTATCAACAATGCTTTTTCAAAAGCCTTCAATCCCAAAGAGAATAGTAACAAATTGTTAACAATGTTATCTACAGAAACAAAATCCCAGCAAGGCTATTTACAGCTGTCATGTCTCCAAGAGAACACAGAGGTCCTGCCTCAGACATGCCCATGGGGATGGCAGACAGGAGGGCACTGCTAAGGTAAACACACATCCCCAACATAATAACACACTACACACTCTCCTAAGGTCAGGCCAAGTGTGCCAATTAAATTAGATGTTTTCTTTCCTTCCTTCCTATTAAGTCAGAAAGAACATTACCAAGAAATACACCAGAATAATTTACTTTGGCTTTTAATGAAATACTTCCTACCCCCACTCCAGTTCAATTTCTTATCTTTTGGCTCTCTACTGAAATGCTCTGCTTTGGATAATCTCTGGCATTTCAGTTAATTTAACAACAACAAAAACGTTAGTTTAATCTTAACTAGATAGCTGCAGGTTTCACTAGGAAGGATTACAAGCAGATCACAGGGATCAAGACCCCAGTTCTCTTAAAACAATAATGGAATGAGTAAGGCAGCAGAAGTAAAACGCTTACTGAGTAGGAATAAAGAGGTACAGCTGAAAGAAAATAAAAAAAAGCAAAGTGGCCCTGAATCCTCTTTATGCGTAGGTATTCAGGTTCAGAGTAAGAAAAGAAGGCACACCACATAAAACAGCGTTTTCCTGACTTTACAAACGTTTGTCCTCTTAAGTGGACATCACCACTATCTACTAATTTAGTGACTGTTACAGATGGAACAAATATCAAAAAAGCTAGCCAACAAATGCAGGCTTGTCTACACAAACCATAGTTTTGGTCTTTTTCCTAGACACTAACCTATGTGATAACAAGCCCAATTACAGGGACCAGATTAGACCAGAAACGAAACAGAAGCTCAGAGGTTCACCTGAACTAATGGAAAAAGTTCAACCCAGTATCTTACATTTTTAAATACATTACAAATAATCAAATCCTTCCAACTTTAAGACAAGGTATTCCCTTGCATCCCATTCTTAACTACCACCTATTAACAGATATAACTGAAATGGGAGTGAAGAGTTTCTTAAAATCTTTCTGCTAGCTTTGCTGAGACTTAAACCCCTCTCTATCTGACCCTAACGTGTACTTGTCTTAAAACAAAATTCATCTTATAAAAAATTACCAATTAAAAATTATGTTGTACTTTAATTCATAATAGTTAATTTAACAAACATTCCTGTAATCACAGAACAATTATAGAAATCACAGAAAGGGGTATGCAACTACCTGATGATGAACAGAAATGCACTGAAAATGCACTTGTATTTGTTTATATATAAAAATTGAGCGGCTGAGTTTCACAGCAGATCCCAGGGACAGTTCGCCAAAATCCAACAACAGTCAATTTCATGGGGAGACGAAAAGACTTGGAACGAAAGATTAAATGGTCTTCAGATTTTGGCCATCATATACTGGCCTGTGCTGCTCAATTACCATCCTCAAGTCCTGTCAAGTTCAAAACTCAGGTAAATAGGCTCTTCTAGGACAGTTTTCAAGTATCAGTGACTAAAGTCCCATCTGTTCACTTCCAAACCTCCACACATCCTCCTGTACCTTCTACCCTTGGAATCCCTAGGGCTCTGAAGAACACAGTTGGAAAATCACTATTCTAAACATAGAGGGAGGCAATGGGCAAAGAGATCTATTGTGGCGATCTCTATAGTTTCTTTTTATTTTCTTTCTGTTTTACTTCTCTCTTTTTAACAAAATGGCTGGTTGATTCCTGCTTCAGTGAGATGTATGCTGAAGCTTGGTTCCAAGTGCCTGAGTATCTTCATTTCTCTGGCTCTCCTACCTACTTCCTCCGAGTCTTCTAACTGGTCTAGGAAGCAGTGGTTAATGTGTTTTTCCCAGCCAGAATCCACTGGTTAGAAGTAAGGAATATGGGCGCTGGGAAGGAGCTGGCTGATTAAATGCCCACAAAATGCCACCACCATATAGCTCATACTCATACACGTGCTCATGTGCACACACACTCCATGATGGTTGCAATTTCTGTTGTGAAATCCTAAAAATTAAAGGATAAAAGTTCCTTTAAAAGGTTTTCCCCTATTATTGAAAGCAATCTTTAAAAGTCTGGTCTCAAAAATTTGGAAGAATATACTCTAAAATGTGAGCCAGTGGTGATATCTGGGTGGTTGGATTATGAGAGATTTTTATTTTCTTCTTTTTGTTTAGGAGCCCTGGTGGCACAGTAGTTAAGTGCTCGGCTGCTAACAGAAAGGCCAGCAGTTCGAACCTCCTAGTCGCTCCACGAGAGAAAGATGTGGCTGTCGGCTTCTGTAAAAATTTACCTGGAAACTCTATGGAGCAGTTCTACTCTCTCCTACAGGGTTGCTATAAGTCTGAATCGACTCGATGGCAACCAGTTCTTGGTTTCTTTTTGTTTACCTATATATATATTTTACTTTTCTACAACTCATATATTGCCTGTTACATATTTTTTAGCCTAATTACTATAATTTACGACTTCATAAGCATAAAATGGTTCTAAATGATATCCAAGGCATTCTTTTCCTCTTTAGACTTCCCAACTTCTAGGGAGTCTTTAATAAATATCTAAAGTAAGTTTTTTTTTGCCAAATCCATTCTACCACTCAGAAAGCTTTTGACTTTCTATAGACAGTTGGTACAGTATATGAAAATATACCAAATGCCATATATATAGCAAATGTCCCACCAAAGTGTACCCCAACTTCTCATCGGCCAAGGCAGTTCCGGTACAAAGAGAATTAGCAGGATCGGCATGGACTGGAGTGAAGCTAAGAGACCAGATTCAGGCCAGCAAATTGGTTTCAGAGTCAACCTGGGAGTTCAGGCATGCAATGTCGGTCATAGGGATTCTGAGAGCAAACCAGATCCTTGGACTTTTCTCTACAATAGTCTAGCCAATGGGACTATTACTCAAACATCCTCCACACTAGAGCAGCCTTCCATCGAAATCTCTTAAGAGGCAGAGTAGAGCAGACCCCAGTCAGCCTGAGTTAGTATTACCCAATTAAGCTCACCTTTGTCGCCGTGGTCTTCACCCCATGAGTTCTCCACTCTCCATTTCAAGAATACTCCATCCTGATCCTCCTGCAAAAGAACGGGCAATAGTGTATAGTCTGATACTAGGCTCTCTCCCTGTTCAGGTGTCATGTCATTTTAGCTCTTCTGAAGCCGCTCAGAGGAAACAGCCTGCTCTACACAGCCATGATATACGTGACCAGGGACATATATTTCCTACCATCACTAAAGGGATACTCCAATAGAAGTGGAGTTTGAATCTCTTGGGGTAAAAATGCAATACAGTTAACAAAGCAATAAATACTATCTTCTTGTTTACATTTCATTCTGTTCTGTACAGAAAATAAGCATGTTTAAAAATGCTATTTGACTAAGGAAAGTAAAGTACTACATTAATAAAAACAGTGAACACCATTTGAAGACAGGAACTCTTGTTTTTAATTAATCAGCATTGTTTGTAAAGGCATCCACTGTATTTATTTTAGGAATGATTCTAAGACCTGGTCGGAGTTTATTTTTTTTTAAAACCACATTCTCATCATGCTGTCTGATTTTCTAATTAGGGAAACTAAGTAATGGTATTCTCCAAATGTGTTCTTTTACTGATTCAGTTACAAAAAGATGGAATTTAATACAACAGAGATTGAATAGCAAAGCAAAACCAAAGAGATTATTTTCATAAAACAAAACCTAGGCAGGTCTCCTGTTCTTTCTCTTCCATCCTCATTAATAAAATACGCTCGATTTTCATCTTCTTAAAGAACAGTGATCTCATTATGGTAGCCTTCATTTACAGCCTTTACTGATACAGAGAGGGCCAAGAGAAAGTCTCCACTTGGGAAAAGACTTCATGTTTACCCAGGGCATTTGCTGATGTCAAAACAACTCAATCCTTGTAGCACGAGAAGACAGTGGGCCCCTGTATTATCTCCTAATGATTTCACCCATCAGCTCCCACTTGCATGTAACTGCATGACAAGTCTCATCTACGTGGGATCTGGTTCCCTTTGGCTTTGCTGACTTGAATACTCTCGGCAGTTTTCTTGGACCTCAGTAATGTTTCAGTCTCCGTAAGAGCCAACAATCTATCACCCACAAGTCTTAAACGCCCTTACTTGTACTACTCCTTCATTTTAGCCGCAGGAACATTCAAAACCATGTCACTGAACTATACATTCTGAGGCTAGCATATGAAATGTCTGCTGAGGGTTCCTATTCCCCTACTGTAGTCTATCTTTACTCTCCTTTTAAATATCACTCGTAGAATCTGTATCATCTATAGTCATTTACTTGCCGTAAGTCTAAAAGTCTTCCTATTCTTTGTCAATGAATTCCTACATGACCTAGATCAAATTGTTCTCTGTGTCATCTACAAATTTGGGATGATAATACTTGGACCTCCCTCAGAGGGATTATAAGAAACCAGCGACAGGAAAGAATATTCTAGAAATACAACTACTAGTATGCATTCATCTTTGCGTTATTACTTAACTGCAGTTCAAACTAGATGTAGTGGTCAAAAACTCAAAGTGGAAACGAGAAAAATCTCAAAACAAAATTCCAGTTATGACTGTATAAATTCTGCTTTATACTATTAACATGTAAGGTAGCTCCATTTCCCTGAGGAATATGGCGTGTTAATAAACCACGCCACTCAAAGAACAGAAGTTCCAGAGAAAATGACATGCAGTATGTATGATTTATATGTCTGAAAAATAGGAATACTCTAGAACAGCGATGGAAATGATAAAAAGCAGAACTTCTCTTGCAAATTAAAACAGGTATTTTTTGTTTTTTAATAGCCCTCTAAATAGTTAAAAAGTTTAACTTTAATTTAAGAAGCTTTGGTTTAGTTATAAATTCACTGAATTTTATAATACAGCATGCCCAGACAGATAAACATAAACAACTTAGTATTTTACCATGAAAAGTTACTTCTAATGTTTTGCTTCATGTCAAAAGGCAGCCCTATTTAAAATAATATCTCATCACTTAATTTTATGTTTTGTTAATAATGCAAATGCAAGAATTTTGTTAAATTTAGGTGACAAAACTTTTAAATCACCTTTTGCTATCCTCAAATGGCTTTCCCTGATCTACACAAGTAACACCAACTGTACTCCACATCTTTACTCTTCTGAGTAACCCTGAACGACCTGTTTCTTGGTGTTGGAGTATTGCTAATTATAGGATGCAAATGTAAAGGAATGGAAAGACAAGGAAAAGAGTTTGCTGGCTTTTACAACCTCAACCTTTACATTTATTTATGAAAATTACATGAGGATCAGGAATATCAGCATGGGACTGCCTAATTAGTTCAGGGTACTTTTTATACCACTGCGTTTAATCTCAAACTGCAAATACCTCTTTAACTACCACTGAAACCCCTAGCCCTGTAATCTGTATACATGTAACGAAGTCTTCCTTAAGACTGACCACTGAATGGAGAGAGAGCATGAGTTCCTGGATACTGTGGGTCAAAGGGGCACCTTCAAGTGAGGTAGCTGGAAAAGATAGGAAAAAGAGGTACAGAAAGAAGTACTAAAAAGAAAAACCTCACCCCACTCACAATTTTGCCTAGGAGTACAAAAAACTAACCAGGACTTGTAGGTAGGCTATCTAGAAAAATCTGGCATAATAATAAGCTATTTCTAAATGTTTTAATGATCACAAATCTAGTAGATAGGATAGCAAAACAATTCTCTTATCAAACTATTTTCTAAAATAATTTATACAAGGCAACTATTCTGTGATTTTTCTTTCTAGTAATTAGACTAGAAAAGAGAACATTTTTGCTTACGGTAATAAAGAATGAAAGGAGTTCATGCCTCCTTTGCCATGAGACCAGAAGAACTGGATGGTGCCTGGCTACCATTACTGAACATTTCGATCAAAGATTCTATAGAAGAATTCTAATCAAAAGGAAGAAAATGTAGAACAGAATTTCAAATTCTCAGACTCCAGACTTTCTGGCGCCATGAAGGTTGGATGAACCCATGAAACTACTGCCCTGAGATAATCTGAAACCGAAAATATCCCCTGAAGTCTTCTTAAAACCAAACAATATTTTAGCGTAACTAGTAAAAAAATGTCTGCCTTGAGCATTATGTCTTTAAAGGACTACCTGTATGAGATCAAAACGACAACAGCAACTCAAAAGATTAGATAGGAACCTTACCGGGCAGTGAGTTTATGTTAGTGGGGGAGAAACAACTCAGAAAAGGAGGGTGAGAATAGTTGCACAACTCAAAGAATATAATCAATGTCACTAAATGGTACATGTAGAAACTGCTGAATTGGTGTATGTTTTACTGTGTACATTCTCAACAACAACAAAATAAAATTAAAAAAAAAGAAGAATGGAAGTAGTTCAAAGTCTTCTCTTCCCTATGATTCCTGAGCACAAGGGGTAAAATATCCATTCTAAAGACTGGAAGTGGGAGGCTTATTTGAGAAAGGCAAAATTCCAGTTGCTGTTTCTAACAGTGTCCTAGAAATTGTGACATTACTATTCAGAGTATTTCACAGGATATTCTAAGTTCCTAAATCCAGAAACGAACATAAAGTCCACAAATTACTGTTACTGACGTTTTACTGCAGAAGAGTCTGAATGACAAACGAAAGGAAGGTAAGTCTGAATATAGGTCATCAAGATACGAACACTGTTGACACTTTTCAGGGCACGTTTTAACTCCCTAAAAAATAAAAGTTATTTTTTCCCAAGTTCCCTGGCCGACTCTCTTCACACCAAGAACTTCCAAAGTTACAAAAAAGCAGTTTCTTCCTTACTCCCCGCTGACACAAATTCTGCTCCTCGTGGAAAGTTCCTATTTTTGTTACCTCTGAGCATGCGGCCAACCCCCAAGCGACGCAGCTACAATGTCTGGCTCGGAAGCTGACTTTTAACAGAAACCACATACGCCATGAATGAAGTTCTGCTGGATAATATCTGCAGAAGAATGTGGATCCATCTGTGCAAACACTGCAATGGGCATACTGAGGGTCATACCTTTTCTGAGACGGCAGTGAAGGTCATGGCATGGGTCATCAGTGACTCACCAAAGGTCAACCTCTCGGCTTTGTTCATGTTCTTCAAGGAGACACCGAACACTAATTCATGGTCATAGCTGTAAAAAGAACAATGGTACTAAATAAAGGGAGTATAATCATGGCAGAAAACTGGCTTCTGCTATAAAATGAACACCAAAGAAACTGAAGGAGTTCAACAGCTCCAAATAAATATGGGCTCCAACTCTAACTCTTCAGAGAGAATACCGCATATGCAAAATTTATTCTCTCAACAGGATTCCATTCTCTATACGTTACAAGAGTATTCTGGAAAATATAAAACGATTAACCACAAATTCCACATATTAAAAAGCTGATGAGTTTGCATTGTCATTTTGGCCAGAAAACCTTAAAAAAGAGAACTTTAACAAATAATGAAAACTGCTTTTGAAGTTAACTTCTTTCAGAAAGGTCCCTTCACAGCTGGTAGAACGATCCAGTTTCTGAATTCATTTAGACCATTGGTGACAGTGAAATTTAAGCAAATATTGCCAAAAATATTGGAGAACATGCTCAAAGTCAAAAAACAAACAAACAAAAAAAAACCTCATTAATTCTTTTAGTAGATTTCTTCTCCTGTTATTAACCTTCAAGATATTTACTCAACTTCCTACAAGTAGGAGTCCTGGTGGCACAGTGGTTAAGAGCTCAGGCTGCTGACCAAAAGGTCAGCAGTTCGAATCCACCAGCCGCTCCTTGGAAATTCTATGGGGCAGTTCTAGTCTGACCTATAGGGTTGCTGTAAGTGGGAATCGACTCGATGGCAACAGTTTTGTCTGGTTTCCTACAAGTAACAATTACTTATAAGTAACCCTAAAATGGTATATTTTAACAGTCAAGGAATCTTATATGATTTAGATTGCAAATGTATTTTTAGTGCCATAAAAGATTAAGAAAACTACTTTAAAGTGAGCACACAAAACAGCCCCAATTATCATAAAGACTTAAAATATATAAGGCATCAAAGTAAGATAAGCAATTTAAGGAGGATCAAATAGCAAACAAGAGCTCTGGAAACCTTTCATTATACTCCCAAATGCACTGAGCAGATTTACACAGGGATCAATTATTTTTTGTGGGTGTCTTTTTCATGTAGGATGGCTTTTTAGGGACATACAAAGATTTCAACTCAGATAGGAAATACGATCTTCTCCAGCTAGAGCATTTAGGTAGGTGGAGTTTCTACTATGAACCTCAAACTCTACAAGATGGAAAGAAAGAGACCCATCCTTAGGCCAACCTTAATCTTTGGATGAACCTCAGCAGTCATTTCATACCAAGCGTGTACTCCAACAGCAACAACCCACAAATGACTTCCTATTTTAAATTTCTTGTACTCACACATTCATGTCACTGAGGCCCAGCTTGTCATTGAAGTGTTTTCCAATATCACAGCCAAACCACACAGCCTAGAAATAGAGGAGAGAGGAAGAAAGAATGTCAACATAAATTCTATCTTCTTATATGCCAAACAAGTAAAAGAAGAGGTTTTAACCTCAATGGGACAGACACAAAAACAATACCGACCTCTCCATCTTTGATGGAGGCAGCAACCATTTTTTTCAAGAAGTCAATGGGCTGGTTGTTATATAGCGTCTTTCTCCCTCCTACCATATTGCTTAAGTAGTCTACTGTGTAAAGTTTGTTGTACTTGTGCTGGGGTCGAGGGTCATTCACTAAACAAACCTATTGAGATCAAGAATATGCTGATTAGAACATAAAACCAGGAATGTCAAGCAAGACATCAGGCTCATCACCTCTGCCTTAAGAATAAAGCACTACAACCACACTGTTACCCAACAAAGAAACCAAAGGCGGTACAATACACGTGAGAGAGGTCCTTGAATGTTCTAATTAGCACAAGGGCAAATGGGCTTATTCTTCTTGGCTGGGACACATCTGGGAGCTACATCTACCTGTTTCTCCTACTGGCAAGAAATGCTCCTAAAACTAATTCTCAAAAACTGCATGCACTAAGGCAAGATGGAGATCTCATCACTATAAAACCCATGCTCTCAAGCTGTAAGACAGGCTCAACAACCAGCATTACCTCAATGGAGCTGGGATTTCAATCATAAAACAAAAGTCAATTGCATAGAAGACAGTCAAGAAGCCAACAAAGGAAGGAGGCTTGGTCATCTTGCCAGGCAGTGGGGAAAGCCTAAAGGAAGCAGGCAAAACTAGGATGGGACACTACTCCCTTCTCTGAGGGAGTCCCCAAAGGGGCTCACAGTACAGAGGTATTCTGAACACATGATAAGAAACACTCAATATGCTTTTATTGTCTTTGCAACTGAGAATGATTCTAGGCCCAAATCAGGGAAGCACTTGGGAAGTGAACTGACTGCTGGTCTAGAGTTAGAAAAGTCTCTGAAGAGGAGCACTGGGGAAAAGTGGGAGGTCCTGATATGGCCAACTTTACTAGGTACATAAAATACCTCAAGAGAAAGAGGAAAAAAGTTTGTTTAGTGTTTAGTCTTATGGTCATGCGAGTTAACCCAGGAGTCTTCTAGCCCTTCCTGTAGCCAACAAGCATTTGAAAGTTATCAGCAAGCAGCTGCCAGTGCCACTCTCCAACCTTATTCTCCATATCGAAGACTGGCTTGACATGCTCCCTATAAAACTCCAAGGGCGTGATGGGGCCAATCTTCTGATAATTTTTATCTTTGTCTCGATACTCCCAGGTGAATGTCTCTGGTGGATTCCCCAAACAGATGCACACCACTCGGAATATCTGGAAAAGAGGAGGAAGAGAGGTGAGCAGTGGTGAGGGGGAAGTGTTATTCTTTACTGTGTCATTTTCTCCAAGCTTGGGAAACAAGAAATTAGTGGCTAAATCCAAGCCAGAAATTTCACAGGAAATCAAATTTTTCTCCAAAAATTAGAAGGTTGATGCCAGGATCTGGTATCAGTCAACTTGTGAGTTCTCAAATAAACACTCTGAACAATGCAATTATTGAAATGTTAATATTTACTACGTAGTATCTGCCCTGTAAATTAAACTTCCTTAGCCGAGAAACCACCCACTAGTGATAACTAACAAGATCTAGGTTGCTGCTCTGTTGTTTTCCAAGTGACAAATAATGACATAAATAGACTTCCTTCCCTTTATGCATCTAGGTTTTCCTTTGATTGTGAAGCGGGTCTCTACTCACAGAAAAGTTACTAACTTTTCAGTTGGAACTTGGATGACAATGCCTGTTAAAAATATTATTAGAAGAGGAATTAAGTTTTAGTAGCAAGGTACCATTTTTTGGGGGGTTGTGAGACCATAATATATTTTCTAATGATGTTATACCCCCAAAATGAGCTTCAAATAATCCAAGGATATATTCATATTATTCTCATTTTATAGAAAGACAGAAATAGAGGTATAAAGAGACACGCCTTGGAGGTGGGGCCAAGATGGTGGCGTAGTCAGATGCTTCCAGTGGACCGTCTTACAAGAAAGACCCGGAAAAAAAAGTGATTCGATTATATATGGCAATCTGGAAGCCCTGAACATCAAAAGCAGAGCTGAGGAACCGGACTGAGTCGCAGTGAGAGAGAGAGACGGTTCGAAAGCAGCAAGGAGTTGCCAAACCTGACCCGGTGAAAGCCTGAGCCCTTCAGGCCTGATCAGCTCGACGGTGAGTGGTGAGGGAGGCAAACAGCCATGCTTGGGAGCCACGTTTTCCGCACTGGCAGAGACCCAGTGCCAGAGACTCTACACGGCCACCCAGAACCAGTGAGAAGCAACCCTCCACGAAAGATAAGTACTTGCGTACGGCTTACTGCGCGAATCAAAAACACCCCCTTAGGGAAAAACCTCTCTCCCATTTATCTCCCCGCTCCCTGCTCTGCACTGGGTCCCGGACCAGCTTCAGCAATCGCAGAGTCCCCTGGGACAGAAGTAGGATCCATCACATGCCCAGAGCCATTCTTCCTGCCTTGGAGAGTGAACAAATTAACAGATGGGAAAAAATAAACTGCCGGTTCCCCTAAGCCAGGAACCCACGGTAGGCACAGCTCCTTTGCCTAGGCACAGGCATAAGGGATCCATGGACTTTGAGTGCCTTTCCGCATGCACAGACTTGTGCGGGCCCATCTCAACAGCGTAGGCCCTCATTACTACAGTACAACAGGCTATATACCAGAAGTCTAACTTCAACTGTTTCAGCTGTGAAGTGGCAGGTTCTTATTTGACACTGCTCTGCCCATTAAGCAGGGTCTTCACCTACCCACATCAGGGGCCTCAGGACTGGTAGCTCCACCCATGCAACCTCACCACCTGTGAGAGGGGCCCATGAATAAGAGGTGCCCCCCCAGCCGTTACAGCCAACAGCATTCAGTGCTCATAGTCCAGCTGCAAAACTCACACGCCTACGTGCTCTAGGGAACAGGGACATACCTTCCTCCTGGACACTTGGGGGTGGCCATCAGCCCCCTGCCTTGCTCAGAGGGTGTCCCCCTGCTGCAGCCAGATGCCTGTGCCTACACCAATCACCCATGCCTGTCTAGGACTGTAAGTGACAGCCTACACCACACACTTGGTGGCTATCTACCTGGGCACCTGAGCTGAATCCATACAGCAGGAGTGGGCGGACTCCTAGGCTCACATACCTAGTAACAGATCTAACCACCTGTTGACAGGACATTAGAGATTCAAAGGTGCCAATAATCAAACTAGCTCATATGAGCAGCTTATCTGGGCATATCAAAACAAAACAAGAAGCTAGGACACAGTAAGCAAACATAAAATAAATAAATGTAATAACTTACTGATGGCTCAGATGCAACAGTCAATATCAAATCACATAAAGAGGGAATCCATGATGGCTTCAGCACGCTCCCAAAATAAAGAATCTATAAATTTTCCAGAGGAGGAAAATTTCTTGAAATTACCAGAGGCAGAATACAAAAGATTAATATACAGAACTTTCAAGAAATCAGGAAGGAAATTAAGCAAAACGGAGAACACGCAATAGAGGAAATTAAAAAGATTAGAGAAGAGCATAATGACAAATTCAACAGGCTGCAAGAGTCCATAGAGAGACAGCAATCAGAAATCCAGAAGATTAACAATAACATTTCAGAATTAGACACCTCGACAGAAAGTCACAGGAGCAGAATTGAGGCAATGGAAGTCAGAATTAGTGAGATTGAAATAAAGCACTTGACACCAACTTATTTGCAGAAAAATCAGATAAAAGGATTAAAAAAAAATGAAGAAACCCTGAGAATTATGTGGGACTCTATCAAGAGGAATAACCTATGAGTGACTGGAGTACCAGAACAGGGGGGATAACAGAAAATACAGAGAGAATTGTTGTAGAGTTGCTGGCAGAAAACTTCCCTGATATCATGAAAGATGACAAGATATCTATCCAAGATGCTCATCGAACCCCACGTAAGGTAGATCCCAAGAGAAAAGTCACCAAGACATATTATAATCAAACTTGCCAAAACCAAAGATAAAGAGAGAATTTTAAGAGCAGCTAGGAATAAAGGAAAAGTCATCTACAAAGGAGAGTCAATAAGAATAAGCTTGGACTACTCAGCAGAGACCATGCAGGCAAGAAGGCAATGGGATGACATGTATAAAGCCTTGAAGGAAAAAACTGCCAGCCAAGGATTATGTATCCAGCAAAACCGTCTCTCAAATATGATGGTGAAATTAGGGCATTTCCAGATAAACAGAAGTTTAGGGAATTTGCAAAAAACAAACCAAAAATACCAGAAATACTAAAGGGAGTCCTCCAGTTAGAAAATCAGTAACATCAGATAACAACCTAAGACTAGAACATAGGACAGAGCAACCAGATATCAACCCAGATAGGGAAGTCACAAAAGGAAATCAAAGCTAAAACACTGAAAACAGGGAAACAGATGTCAATATGTAAAAGATGACAACATTAAAACAAAAAAGAGGGACTTAAAAAATGCAGACATAGATTTTTTCATATGGAAAGGAAGTCAAGGCGATATAAAGAAAAAAAAAAAAAAGACTGGTATAAACTTAGAAAAATAGAGGTAAAAATTAAAGTAACCACAAAGGAAACTAACAATCCTACAAGTCAAAATAAAAACCTAGAAAAATATAAGACTCAGCAAACACAAAATCAACAACAATGAAAAAGACGAAAAAAATACACAAAGAAAAACGACTCAGCACTGAAAATTAAATGGAACAAAGAAACTGTGAACAACACACAAAAAAAGACATCAAAATGACAGCACTAAACTCACTACCTATCAATAATTAACACTGAATGTAAATGGACTAAATGCACCAATGAAGAGACACAGTGTGGCAGACTGGATAAAAAAACAGGATCCATCTATATGCTGCCTACAAGAAACACACCCTAGACTTAAAGACACAAATGAAAACAAAGGATGGAAAAAAACATATCAAGCAAACAACACTCAAAAAAGAGCAGGAGTGGCAATGTTAATCTCTGACAAAACAGACTTTAAAGCAAAATCCACCACAAAGGATAAGGAATGACACTGTATAATGATTAAAGGGTCAATACACCAGGAGGACATAACTATAATAAATACTTATGCACCCAATGACAGGGCTCCAAAATACATAAAACAAACTCTAACA